ATGGAGCTTTGTCGCTTTGTTGGCTNTTTTTTCCCCCGGGGCCGCGGCTGGTGATTTGTCTAGCGGCAGAAGCGGTGCCGAGGGGCGGCGCGCTTTTCCCCCGCCCTGCTTCACGCGCCGTCTTGCTTTTTTTAGACGCGCCAATGTGCAGGTGGCGGGGTCCGCGGGAGACTGCGCTTGCTTCTTTTTAAAATATGAAACAGGAAATGCCAAATTGTTGGCTTGATGTCTTGGGGGGACGGCCTCCTTGCGCAGAGGAAGCGGGGCGGAAGGCCCCTTCTAAAAACGGCGGCGCGCCCAGCTGCGTGGATGGGCATCACGAATTTTCGCAACCAAACCAAAAAAATGGGCTTTGGCTGTGCAACGCGGCGTGCGCTTTTTCAAGCCCGAGCGTCCGAAAAAGTACTTGAACAGTTCTGGCGACCTACGGCTGCAGGGCGCCAGCAGGACGCCAAAAAAAAAAAAACGACAGCGGGCGGACGCAAGGAATCTCGCCGAGAAAAGAACGTACTAAAGGGCGGCCAAAGAAGCTGGAGAGTGAGACGCGGAGGATGCCGAACGGAAAATCAAGAGGACTATTTTTTTTTTCTTGTTCTTCTTTCCCGCTCCCTTTCCAAATACAACCTCGCGCCTACCGCCTCCGCTTCGGTGCGTGAGTGTGGGGTTTGAAAGCTACGTTTGTTGCCCCGTTTTCATTCTTTGCAGCGTGACTGGGCAGAGTTGGATTAATGTGCGGGGACCTGATCTCGGAACGAAGGTGCAGTCGCAGAAAAATTAACCGGCGAGAATCGCCTGCGGCAGAGCGTCTGCAACAGCAAAGGCTGGCACCAAACGAAGTTCGGCGCGCAGTTCGATACGAGCACCAGCTGCTGCTGCTGGCCCTTGCTGTTCGGGAGTTGTCTCGGCGAATGTGGAGGAGCTGACGACTACTTGCAGGCGCCGAGTTTGGGATCCAAGCGAACCGGCTTGTAGCGAGCGAAAACGCAAGCAAAACCGTGGGCCATAGGCCCGCAGTGTCAGGGGTTGCGTCTTTTTCTGTGTGGGGGGAGACAGGGGCGGGGGAAGGCCCAGTTGGCCCGCGCTCTTGCAAGACGTGTGCGGAGCGCAATGCCTGGACCCGTCGTCTTTGGTTTGTCTGCTCCTTTTCTCGCCGTGCTGGCGGCTGGCCTGCGCGCCCTGCTTTGGTTCCACCGCCGAGCACCGGCCCTCGCGAGGGCAGACGCTTCCCTGCGAAACGGCGGTCGCAGCGTTCGGCCGGAAGGAAGGGCGGTGTCACGGCACCGGCACCGCGCACACGTCGCTCCTCCTGTCCCTTTTTTCTTTCTTCTTCTCCCAACGGGTTCGGACGCGCTCGTGGTACTTTTTCTCGGCGTCTCCCTCGCATTGTGTTGGGGCGCGGGCGGTGTTCTTTCCCCCCTTTTTTTTCTCGGCATTATTTGTATTTTCGTTTTGCTTTTCCCTTTCCATTTCGGCGGCGAGGCGGAAGAAGCGGCGGCGGCGCATTTTGGGCGCGCGTTCGCCAAAAAGGAGGAAGAAGAAAAAGTTCCGCGGCAGCCGGTGCGTGTTTGTGTTTTTTTTGCCTCCGGCTCGAAAGGCGCAGGCACAAACACAACAACAACA